GTCAAAAACGTGATTATATTTTTAGGGTGGGTGTGAAAAAGGGTTTGGAAAAAGGGGTTTTTTTGTCTGAAAAAAGGGCTGGGATGTGGGGACCGGGGGGGCCCCCCCCCCCCAAAAATTCCCGGGGAACCCCCCCTCTTTACCCCCCTGAATTACCCCCCCCCCCCCCCCATTTGCGGTTAGAGAAGTTTGTAAATTATCTTCCAAAAAACTGACATAAACTTGAAACCTGAAAGGAGATATGAGGGCCAATTATCATGAAGACAAAAGAATAACTGAATTTTATTTTTCATTATTTTGAAATAAGGTGTATTACGACGCATTTTCAGTTGATTCTTCAATAACTGCTGCAACGAAAATTCTTGGGTATTATGAAACAAACTTTGTTGATTTCAAGTTTTAATCACGAAGCATAGGCTAGCTGTTAACTGAGAAAACAAGAGGCAAGTCCGATGATCCACGTTTTTTCTATTATTACATATCAATCGGCAAGGCAAGTATTAAAATTTTAAGTTTTCAAAAACTTTATCAAGTTGGTTCAGAGCTAGGTAATCAAATGAAGGCTGAAGTCTCGGGGTTCGAACATAACGCGAGTGATATATGATGTCATTTCACTTGAAGCCACTTTGTTACACAAACAAACTATCAAGTTGAGAAACTAATTACGTTATGTGAAACAGGTGCCTGAGAAAATAATTAAAATTTACCGTGTTTGCAGCTACCTTCACCATAACAAAAGTTATCTACCAATGAAACGCAGGGGCGCAGTAGGCCCAAAATTAGTTAAAGAATCTTCGGCTACGATGGCATGTAGCGTTGCTAAAAGCCAGTCATACCACTTTTCAGGACATGTCATCCAGGTTTATAATTATTTTCCACTGCTTACCATGTTTTAAAAACTAACTCTAAAAAAAGTCTGGAAGTCGACGAAGGCCAGTTAAGATGAATATCGAAAATTGACTTCCTACTCAAAAGTCAGTTGGATGTTTGTGGATAAGTGGCAACAATTATGTGCATATACTCAGTCATTCTTTTACTCAGAATTAAAAGAGAGGAACACCAAAGTGGTTCAATGGAAGCAGGATTTCACGAGTTCCGCTTTAGGAAATGCTGTGTTGCATCGTTACAAAGTTAACGTAAGTTGCAAAGACATTGCCATTCTATTCTGAGAGACCGCATCGTAGCCATAGTAGAAGTGGTTCACTCGGGCAAATTTATTTTAGTTCGGATTTTCAGGTTCCAAGCAGGAAGGGCTGTGATGGCATCTTTTTACAGTGGTGTAAAGGTTGCGTAGTAACAACAGTTGACAGATCCAGCCATGTTATATGCAGGTACGGTAATAACGGCTGAGATATCACACCGATTATAAACGATGTTTAAAGAAGTGCTTGGGAAAGCTATGAAATAATATGATTCTCCAGCCTTTCGAGAAGGTAAGTAGTTATTTGTTGCTTTTCTTGTTCCTGACCACAATTCTTTGCGAACAGCCTCCACCATATTGTAAACTTGAGATTGGGCTTCAAGTGAGGTAACTTTATCTTGGTGCATCCTTGTAAATTCACCGTAGTAAGAACTAAAACTATCACTATAACGTTGTAAACTAATCACTGCTGCCATTTGACAAGTCTTTTTTATCTTAATATCCATCGATGTTGATATTTTTTCGAAACAATCAGCATGCAGAGTGTTTTCTAGGATCCTATAGTGCCGCAATAGTAGTTGTAGTTTAATACAGCGCGATCGATCTAGTTTTCGTTGATGGAATCTTAGTTAGCATTTTTTTTTAGAGAACATTTAGTTGACATAGAATATCCCCGCCGAATTCCCTATTTAACAGTATATATTCGGAACGATGACAGGTACGCGAGGGCTAACGCGCTAGTGTTTAACTTCCTTTCGAACATATACTAAAAACCTGCACCCCCTTCTGTCTAGTTACGTTTGTTTGTACTGTGTACTGAGTACTGTTTCCTAATTTGGTCCCCAGCTAATTCATCAATAGAGACCTTTAGATTCTAAGACGCCGAGAACGACTACGAGTTCGAGATTTTCTAAAAACTTCGCTTGAACCAGCGTTAGGGACGGAGCATTAACTTTCTGGAGGGGGGAGGGGATGAGAAATATTGAAAAAAATAGTTTGAGCGTCTAAGAAGACAAAATAAATTGTTTTCAAACGTGATAGGGTAAAAAAAATTGTTTGCAGAGAAGTCAGGTAAGATATTAAAAAAAAATATCATTACCAAAACTGAAATAAAAAAAAAAATTAACAAATTGAAGCTTAAATATACAATTTAACAGAAGTGTTTGCGGTAAGAACATGTGTCAAAGCCCACATTATTGTGGAAGTCTTCAGAAATACTGCTCTGCAGTGATGCGAAAGCTAATACAGCTGAAAATAGCTTTAAGACTGTCTCTCTTTATTTAGCTACACAGTACAACTCCTTCACCGTTGCCTTCGTAAACAGCAGCAAAAAAGATCTTTATTGTGCCAAGGCTTAAGGTCAGAATCTCAACGGGTTTCATTGAAGCTGAATGCCACTTGCCACTTAAGAAGTGGGCGCGTTTCAGAAGTTTGTCACCTTCCTGATGATATCATCATCAAAGCTATAAATGGGTCACTTACTACTTATAAGTTATTTGCAGTGAACTATGACAATGGAAATCATTTTAAATCAGCTCTGTGCCTGCCTTCGCCCGAGGTACCACAGGCCGGGTGGTACTAGTATGATGGCCTGTGGGAACATCATCAAAGAGGATCAGTACTTCGGTACTTTGGAATCTCGAAAAAGCCCGCTACTCCCTTTGCCCATTTCCTATCGTATGCCCTTTATTTGCGTCAGCAGCTGCCCAAAAAAAGTTTATTAAGGCAATATAGTAATATTTAGCACAATGAAAAGAACAATGAAAAAAAAAATGGAAAAAATTGTTTGCAAGAAAATGACGATGGAAAAAAATGTTTGTGGAGACATATATGTTTTAAAAAATGTTTGCAGAAGACAATTTCTCATCCCCCCACCCCACCAGGGGAAAACGGCGGGAAAACGTGATAGCCGTTGTCATTCAATACTACGACGTTTTAACGAGAATCTCGTAGTGGAAAAACGAGTTAGCAAATGTTAGAAGTTTGATCATTTTGCGATCGGTAGAGGGCTTATGCTCCTTTAATAAAGATAACAATGCTAACTTTTCTGGTAAATCAAAAGTACTATGAAGCTTTCCGAGGTATCTATTTTTTGACAATACGCGAAAAAACTTTTAGTGAAATCTCGTACTCGTGCCGGTTGAATCTAAAGGTCTCTAACATAACATTCAATACTCAATCAGGTTTCAGTTCATTATTCTCAACCCCACAAAATGGATGCTCAGCACCATCTATTAAGAAATACATGGGTTCCTGGAAATAATGGAATTGTGGACAGCCTAGAAAATGAGGTGAGTTTTGTCACTTCTCGTTAAGGTTATCAAGACAAGCCTTTTTTTAGTATCTTACTTGTTCGACAAAAAAACTTAACCTTAAATTTTCGATTTCTGCTTAAATCAGATCATTCAATTGATGACTGAGTCTTTTTCCATATTCAGATTATTCCTCATTACGGGATTTCCGAGAGAGGAATGAAAGTTGAACAATGTACGGAGGAAAACAATTTTCCAATAGGGTATGTAAACAGTGATGTATCACTTAATGTTTTCATTGTATATTGTTTTACAAGAGTAGCGAACTGAAAGTGTACCTGTTGTTAGAAAAATTCGATCAATGATCAACTCACACACTCACTTCTCACACATTATTTTCGCCATTTTGTACTTTTAATTTTTTGTCTCGCGGCTGACATTGGCTGAACCAGCCGAGTACTTAACTAACAGGATAAGCAAAAATTCAAAATCAATCGACTTTCATCTTATTTGTTTTCAGAAGGGGAGAGTCCAGTCAATGTTTCTACGATCTCGAGACTTCTTTAAGTGGACAGGCGAGTATCTTATCCCATATTAATTCTCTTATATTAGTTACTATTAAGGAGCTGCCATAAGTTCTTTCTTCATAGTCTGTTGAAAATACATGCAGCTCTCAGCAGGAACCGCACAAAGGTTAAAGAATGTTACATATCGCAATTTAAGAATTTGCTGTTGACTTTTATGGAACTCTAGATCTATAATATAAGGTTGAAAGCTCGGTGCTTCGTTGGTTCAGTTAACCCATTCGCCCCTGAACCCGTGCCCATAGCCCGAAAAATTTCCATGAAAATCTTGTGTCACTACCCACCTACCTTTCCTTTCATCTAATCCTAAGATCCTAAAAGCTTTCCCAAAAAATTTTCCCACCATTATGAAGGCTACTAAATGCCCAGCGAAAAAAAATGACGGAGGCAAAAAAGAGGGGAAGAGAGAAAGCGAAAAGAAAAGGTCAACACTGCTGTGTCACTTTTAAAGGCCTCGAAGTGTACGATCTGCTGTAAACTGAACAGCTCTGTGGTAAGCTTAAGCTCTTTATAGCCAAACAGTGACTAGAAAGCCGCTCGACTAGCCTCAAAACGCGTTTTTCGACAAAATCCCCTGGGGTGAATGGGGTTAAATATGAAATACACCTTATCACAGCTGATGGCCGGTCTGGTTGTAGAACATCTAAACGAACAATTGCAACAACAACAACAACAAAACTGACAACAACGTTGTGCGCCAAAATGTATTCAAGTAAATTTAGTTACTGACTGGCCATCTTCTCTTTAATTTCCCTTTTTTTAATAATAGAATTTTAGAGCATAAGCCAAGGGAAGATCCAGGATTTTTTAATCGGGGGTGGCTAATACCAACTGGCTACCAAACTATACGCTGATTTTTTTTTTTAGTAGCCCTTCGGTTGTCCAAAAACATGGCGATTTAGGAAGGATAAATTGGAGACCATAACAATGCACCCCCCCCCCCACCTGGATCCGCCCCTGTATCCATTTTAGGTAATCATTTTTAGCAGCATCTCGGACCAAATCACCCTGCCTCGTCTCGGTTATCTTTTCCTGAAAGAAACAAAGATGGTTGTTAAGGTTATGATCGATCCCGCATCAAAAGGCGTTACGTCTGTATTAATTATTGACCACATCAACATAAGAGCGAAATAAAGTCCACGCTAGTGGGAACCAGAACATCAATATTGATGCAAGGTCAAGAAATGTGCTGAGAAAGAGGAACATTCTTCTACTCTGTGCAATAATAATGATAATGATCATAATAATAATTGTGTCAATAACAAAATTGTAGAATCTGATTGGTACTCAGTAGCCCTTTTAGCTGATGCAGCTAGCATCAGAACTGTCCAATTTGACATGTGTTCGATTAGAAGCTGCTTGTATTAAAAATCGGACAGAGCAAATCGGGCAATTGAACAGCCAATAAAAATTGAGCGTAAAATGTTGCTGCCCAATAAGGTTTAACAAATTACTGTAAAATTCCGAAAATAACTGTCGGAAAAGAAATAGGTGATGCTTAACTTGAGTATTTTGTGGCGGATTAAACATTAATTAGAAAATTTACATTCGTAGCGCATAGAAGTCAGATTTCGTGACATTAGATTTCACAATAATAGACAAAGTCCGAGTATATTTACGATATAAAATGATGTAACTGCATGCATTTTCTCATGCAGGCTAAGGTGAAAGAACGTGCGATTTTGTAATAGTCACTTGATTTAGATACATGACAATGGGAACTTTTACTGTACATGTGATTAATGTAAAAATACTGCCTTACGCAAGGATAGTAGAAAAAACCTCTGTATACTTAGAATGAGTTAGTTGATCATCCGTTGAGTTACGTTGATCGTTGATCGTTGTGTTGTTACGACCGTTGAATATGTGAGAATTGTACTTCGCAGCAGACTGTTGGATTGGATTAAATGGTGTTGTTACATCGAAAGATACAGTCCTCTTGATTTGTTTGAACCAGCAAGCGGGGTTATAAGAATTCCGCATCAATAACCCCCTCCATGTATAAGCCCCTCTAAAGCCCCCCAAACTCCGAGACAGTTACGGTAACGCAAAATACCCTTCGCGATCGCCTCTTCAGATATGATAAGCCCTCCGGGGCGAATATTCTTTGAAACTGTCCTCAAATAATAATAATAATAATAATAATAATAATAATAATAATAATAATAATAATAATAATAATAATAATAATAATAATGATAATGATAATGATAATGATAATGATAATAATAATAATAATAATAATTATTATTTTATAAAAAAATTTATTAATTATTTTATTGAAATAAGTATCTAAGTTTTTTTATCTGATAAATGTCTAAGTTCTTATACTTATAACTTTATATATGGGATACATGTAAGAAGAACACATGCTTTCTCTTGACAGCTAAAATGACTATCTAAAAACTGCTAATAACAATTATAAAAATAATAATATAATAATAATATAAATATATAATAATAATAATAATAATAATAATAATAATAAAACAAAGCAAAAATGATCATGATATAGTAACACATAATTCTTTTTATTTCCAAAAAACTCTTACGTGTACCAAATGACTGCATTCAAAGAGTGTCACAGTTTATTGCTCCTTTGCGTAGTTCACTTAGATTTCCTTTATTTTTTCGTGAGAAAAGTGTACCTTACCTATTATTGGCATTCCCTTACCTTTGAACTGAGTATTGCGTTTTCAGCAAAGTAATTTGCGGTTGTGTTTTAAGTTTGCTTGCCTGAGTTTTAGAAAGACCTACGTCTTCACGGCGAGTATCAGTAAAACCTTACTAACATACCTCTCCTGCCCAATCGATCTTAAGATGCAAATTTCCTTTAAAGCATAAGCCCAGCCGATTTAGTAATGCAAATTTTCCCCCGCATAAGCCCCTCCAAGTATAAACCGCTCCATTAATAAGCCCCTCAAAAAGGGCGTTTGAGAAATATATGCCCCGGGGCTTAATATTTGTGGAATTTTACGGTAGTCGATGCTAGCAAATCAAAACCAAGAAAAAATCTTCAGTGAGTAAGTTTTCGAGCTTTTGTTTGGGACATTTAATGTTAGAAAAAATGTATTTAAAATAATTCACGAAGATAGTTTCTCCAAAAATTTATTGTAAGCCATCCTTTTGCTTTGTAAGCTGATGTCATAAGAACTTTTGTAATTTTAAACATAAAGAGGCTCCTGAATTAAATAATTATTGTAAACTTTGTTGAGATTCCATTCCCTTGGGTGAAAATCCTTCTCAAACAGGGGTACAGTGAAATACTCTTTCACGCAGTGTCGAACTAAAAACAAAACGACGCCATAACCGCGTTTCTATCTGCCAAATAAATAGAGGCGAAATTTTGAACAGAAAGCGGAAGTTTCATTTCTTCACGCGCCCGCGAAATGATAATGCCTGCGGTCATTTTCCCGCCTCTTTTGCTCACGTCGACACGTCGTCCTCGATTATTCCTTGCGTGCGAATGTAGATTTCCGATTTCAGTTCAACAGTCGATTTCACATTTCGTAAATCCTTCTGCCAGAAATTGAAAGGTAAGCAGTATATTTATGAATTTCTGTAGTTGTTGTTGCGATTTACCTAGACCGAACAGTTTCGAATCGCAACATGTGTGTCATGCTTAAGCTTACATTTTAAAATTTTAATTCATGTAGCGCAGCTTTCATCGACTCGCGTCGCAAAGGTCAAATTTGTCTTCAGTGGTTATTTTCTGACGTTAACTGCCCAAAGAAGATATTCAACCGTTTAAGTCAAGGACAAATTGAACGGAGATCCACTTAATATGTTTTAAGCACATGTAAATTTCACGCAGATGCGGTTGAACATAATAGACTGCACATCATGCGCTTACTCTTCAAGCTCATTTAAGCTTAAAGTTTGTCACTTAAGTTAAATTAGACCAAAATTATGTAGTTCCTTAAATTACTTAAATAGAAACCCTGCATGGTGGTTAATGATCAAATATATATAAAAATTAGCGAGGACATGTCTATGTTTACACGCACATATAGTTGACTTCCGCGCTAATATGTTGGACAAAAGCCGAGGCCAATATGGCCGATTGTGTGACACAGAAACACCATATTACCTCGAATAAAAACAGCCGGGGGTGAATATTATTTTTTTTCCCCACCAATAGATGGCAATTATTCGAGGGAGGCGATTATTTCAAATATTACTCACTGGAAGTCGTGCACTAAAATATTTTGTTTTATTATCCCATTAAAGTAAAAAAATTATCATATCAAATAGACTGAACATGGGCTTTTTAAGTGTTCCAAATTTGATTCATTGATTAATTTTCAATGTCAATAACCTGGGCATCAGAGCTTGAATCATCACTGATCAGCTTTGCTGAATAAAAGAAAGGAGAGGGGTGGGAGGGGGGAATTATTCAAGGGAGGGGATTATTTTAAGTATATCCGTCAAGGAGAGGTGATTTTTCAAGGGAGGTGGTTAATCGAGAGATGCCTATTATTCGAGGAAATACGGTACTTTGCTTTCATTAAAGAGTTACCCCCTTCTCCACCCCCTGATATTACCTCAAGGTGTACATAATGTAGAAATGCCACTGATTAGTTTCAGCTGTGCAACTGCATAAAATCATTTACATACATTGTACAATTCCTGCTCACAGGGAGAGTTAATTATCCATTCACAAAACATTTACATCTGTGTGCT